CCCTAAACTGCGGTAAGCTACATGTGAGTTCAGTACCAGCCATTATGCTAACTGCTGGTCCCAGGATGTCATTCTTTTTGATGGCTGAGTGCTATTCTGTTATATGGGTAGCCCATATTTTGTTTATCCACTCATCCTTTGATGGACATCTGTGTTTCAGCCTTGGGGCTACAGTGGATAGCGCTGCTATTGTTTACTTAGAGTGCATCATTTGTGCAGAGACGTGTACAACTTCACGCAGGTTCACAAGACACACGTGCTGCTGCTCTCCGGGAGGTAATTCCTTTGGATTGCCTCTTTACAAATGCCAAGAGAGGTGTGCCCGAATGTGTAGTGGTCCAGTGCACGCCCGATCGTGTGCCTTAAGCACAGGGAGGCTGGACTTTATTAACCAGCTGGGCGTCTCTGATGAAGGAATTCATTTTCACGTCTGAGGAGGATGCTAATAACATTTTTTGAGGCTTGCTGAGAGGAGTCTACTTCGAGGTTATCGGGGATTAAATGACTGTGCTGTAAAGGGAAGTTCAGGAAGGAACAGTTTTCTAAAATACGTTTCAAACTCTAACCATCACATGTGAGGCTCCAGACCTAAGTCCAGTCAGGTTAAAGATCTATTTCCATCCTTAGATTTATATATTTCTTCCAAGAGAGAGAGAGACAGACAGAGACAGAGACAGAGAGAGACATCCCCGACAGGGTCTGCACTGTGCCATCGCCCTCAGTCTCCGCTGGCCTGAACCGTGGGCACACATACCTGGTGTGCTCAGGGAGCTCCTGGGACATGAGCCTATGACTTCCATGTGGGTCAGTCTTCAGGGGAGGTGCAGCTCCCCAAATAGGTCAGTTAGGGAAGGTGGGACAAGCAGTTTGACCTGCACTGCGGCCCGGCTGCTCCATCCTCAGATTGATTACCACCTGGGGCCGGTGTCAGTGCAGCTGCTGCTTGAGACCAGTAGCCACATGTCCTCTTAGTGAACACGGGTCAGGCGTGTTCTGTGGCACACATGTGGTCACCAGATAAATGGAATGCATTTTCGTCCAGCGAAGGAGAAAACACACTGGGCTTTAGCTTGAATGTGTCTCCCCAGTGTTCATGTGTTCAGCCACTGAGGTGGTGTTAAAGGGGTGGAAACTTAATCTGATCATGGTGTTGAAAGATGGGGCCTTGGGTGGTTAGGGTGGCCTTCTGTGACTGAGTTCTGGGGGCGCGTGCAAGTGGACGGAACGAGACCAGAACGAGGCAGAGAAACTTCCAGACAGTTCTTCTGCTTGATGTCCTGCCCTCTGCCATGTCGTTGCCTCAGCAGAAGTGGGCCCCTGGCCCACCGCACTGTGACCTGAATAAACTTGTGTTTCTTTATAAACTGTCAGTCTCAGGTATTTGTTAGCAACTCGGTACTGGGGCAAGACACGCTACTGTAAGACCACTTAGTTATATAGTCTATGCTGCCCCTAGCCTGGCTCAAAAATATTTGGCAAGAATACTCAGAAAATGTACCTCCCCAGGGAGAGGGACCTGCCTCGCTCGTCTCTCTCTGATGGATGTTCAGCCACCATCGATTAAAGAGGACAGTAAGCCCCTGGAAAGCTTCGAGAAGACCCAGGGCAGCTGCGATGGTACATTCAGTTTCTTTCTTTTACCTGGGAGCCATTGCAGGCCCTTCTTTTCCATTTTCATGCTGTGGCTTGACAGTTAATTTTCAAAGCCAATCTGAATGACACGGCAAGGGGAAAGAAAGCGATGAGTGTCTCCAGTGACAGATGCTCACTTTGAATGTTATTTGCAGTGGGGCTTAGCATCCTTTAATCCGCAGCAGGCAGACCGGGCCAGCTTTTGAAGGGGAGGAAATGAAAGTGTGAAATTGCATTCTCTCCAAGTGGCCACAGATACGACTGACTAAGCAGGTCAAATCGCTTGTCCCACCTTTCCTAGCTGACCTATTTTGAGTAGTCACACCTCCCTTGAAGAAGCAAATGTAAGCTTGTCATGGGAGGGAGTGTGTTTCTGGGGGTTGTGGAGTGGGAGCTTGGCCCCTTCCCTTATGCTGCTATTCTGTGTGTGTTTCCCCCAAGATCCCATCAGGTCTCTTCATCCCCAGCATGGCTGTGGGAGCGATGGCAGGCAGGATGGTGGGCATTGGTGTGGAGCAACTGGCTTACCATCACCACGACTGGATCATCTTCAGGAACTGGTGCAGACCCGGAGCAGACTGTGTCACCCCAGGACTTTATGCAATGGTGGGGGCTGCAGCCTGCCTAGGTATGAACACAGGCAGGACTGGGAAGGGGTGGGTGAGCTGATCTGGCTTGGAGGATTGGCAAGAAAGAAGACACAGACTGGAGCATTTGCATTATTCAGGGTAGGTGAGGTGGTGCTGCTGTAACAAGTAAGCCTCTGTATCAGTGGCTTACAAACAGGGCTTACCCCTGTGCCATCTGTCTGTGTGTCTATCTATTTATCATCTCTATCTGTCTATCAATCTAAAAAAATATGGGTTAGTAGCAGGCTCTTCTCCACACAGGCACTCAGAGCCCCAGGCTGATGAAATCTCCACCATCTTACAGCTGTGCCACCTAGAACAGTGACTCTTAACCAGTAGAGACTGGGCCTTTCAGGGCTACTTGGCACTGTCAGGGACAGTTTTGGTTATCACATTTGGGGTGGGGGCTGCTACTTTCATCTCATGGGTAGAGGCTGTGGGGGCTGCTAACTGTGCTGTAGCGCACAAGACAGCCCTGTGCTGTGAACAGTGATCAGCCCCACATGTCCCTAGGGCTGAAGCCAAGAAACCCTGGTTTAAACTCACTGGGAGATTAAGAGTTAGTGTGGCTTCTGTGTTTGAATACCGAAGGACACAAAGGTGGGTCCCTCTCATACCGCTGGTTGCCCAGCTCATGAAATTCTGGGAGAGAGCCCCCCTTGCTCAGTGAGAAGCAGCACAGCCTACATAGGGTCCCCTCACTGCGAAGTCAGATGTATGGGTCCAGGTGGATAGCACAGGGTCCCTCACTGGAGCAGAGCCCTGTTTGCGTGCAGCTTACAACTCCCTGATGCCAGGCTGCCTTTTCCAGCACCTGGGCTCTAATGGAGAGGCCTGAGCATGGGCAGCAGGTATGAGTGTCTCCTTGGGACAGGGCGAAGAAAACTCACAGCCCACCTGTCCCTTTCCACAGATCATGCCCTCCCAAGGACTGGGGGTTGGCTTCGCAATCTCACTGCTCTCCTCTTTCTGTCCCAGGTGGTGTCACCAGGATGACAGTGTCCTTGGTGGTCATCATGTTTGAGCTGACGGGTGGCCTGGAGTACATCGTGCCCCTGATGGCAGCGGCTGTGACCAGCAAGTGGGTGGCCGATGCCTTTGGGAAAGAGGGCATCTATGAAGCCCACATCCACTTAAATGGGTACCCGTTTCTGGATGTGAAGGACGAGTTTACCCACCGCACGCTGGCCACTGACGTCATGCGGCCCCGGCGGGGAGAGCCGCCGCTGTCGGCCCTCACACAGGACAGCATGACGGTGGAGGATGTGGAGACGCTCATCAAGGAGACGGACTACAATGGCTTCCCCGTGGTGGTCTCCAGGGACTCTGAGCGCCTCATCGGGTTCGCCCAGAGGCGGGAGCTGATTCTTGCATTAAGTGAGTCAAAACCGGGGAGCTCAGGTTTACCAAGAGGTGAATGGCGGCCTTTGTACTGTGAAAATGATTGAGGGGGGGAGATGAGAGAATGTCTGCTAAGGCAGGACCTCTCGGCATCAGCGTCCATCTGTGTTACCTGGGGGTCTGCTGAAGTGCAGATTCGGTCTGAGCAGATCTGGGTGGG